TGGGAGGGGGCAGAGGCCCTTGGGAGGGGGCAGAGGCCCATGGGAGGGGGCAGAGGCTCATGGGAGGGGGCAGAGGCCCTTGGGAGGGAGAAGAGGCCCATGGGAGGAGGCAGAGGCCCTTGGGAGGAGGCTGTGTGCTCCAGGCTGTTCAGCCCTCTCGCTCAGTTCTACCCACCCCAAGATGGCATCCTGAAGCCCCAGCAACCTAGCTTGCCACTCCGGCCAACTACATTGTTCCCCTGCCCTGGGCCCTCCTGTACTTGTTTATCTGGGTGCCCCTCAGAGAAAGCTACATCAGCTTAGATGCTGCTAATAAGGTTATTTTCACAAGTGAAGAAGGTGTGTTTGAGGAGCGGAATTGGAGGTGTGAGCTCCTATCTCCTCTCCAGGTAACAAACCCTAAAGTCCTACAAATGAGGTGATAATAAGTTGGAAGTGAAAGGCCCACATGGAAAGGTGGCAGAGGTTACAGAGAGGCAGCAGCTGGGCTAGAGAAGGGACCAGGCAGCACCCCACTGACCCCATTTTCCCTGTAGTACCCATTCACCCCAGCTACCATGGTTGAAAATCGGTCACAGAGCGAGCAACTCCTGTCACACAGCTGGAAAAACTAAGGCCCACGGAGGAAACCATGGTGGCTCAGGTTGTTCCAGGACAGCGACAGCAGGATACACAGGAAGTGAAGTCAGAAGACCTAAATGCAAGCTGGGCATGGTGGCTGATTCCAGCTACTTAGGAGGCTGAGGCAGGAGGATCATGAGTTCCAAGCCAGCCTGGGCAACTTGGCAAGAGAGTGTCTCAAAATTTTACTTTCTTTTCCTTTTTTCTTTCTTTTTTCTTTTGTATTTTTGAGACAGGATCTCACTCTGCTATTCAGGCTGGCCCTGAGCTCACTTTGTAGCCCAGGCTGCAAAGACCTTCCTGCTCTAGCCTCCTGAATGCTGGGATTACAGGTATATGCCACCATGTCCGGCTGTCTCAAAATTTTAAAAAGGGGGGCTAGGGATATGGCTCAGCAGCACAAGTGCCTGCCTGGCATGCACAATGCCCTGAGTTTAATCCCCCATACTGAAAAAACAAAAACAAAAACAAACTCAGTGGTAAAACATTTGCCTAGCATGTACAGGGCCTTGGGTTCTGTCCCCAGCACCACACATGCACACACACAGAGTTTAAGTCTTAAGAATGTTCAGTGTTTCAAGAAAAGTCATCTCAGGGCTGGCCAGATAGCTCAGTGGACTAAAGGCCTGCTTAGGCAGAGCACGGCAGCGGGGATTCGATCTCTGGTGTGCCGCACCGGCCTTGCACCCGTGGCACACTGAGATGGAGATTGAGACTGGGCCTGGTGGCACGTGCCTGTAATCCCAGTGCTTGGGAGGCTGAAAACAGGAGGATCACTACGAGTCTGATCTATATAGTGAGACCCTGTAGGCCCTGCAGATGGCATACAAAATACATTTTTTAAAAAAAGAAAAAAGACATCTCAGTTCTCTGAGCCTCAGTCTTCCCATCTACAAAATAGGGCTGGGGCTAGACAATGAAATGTTTACTTGAAGGGTTGTATAAGGCTTCAGATGAGGCCATGTTCTGGTTCTGTACATTATGAGGACAAATCCAAGATATTGTTATCATACCCAAGTCTGCTGAGCCCTCTGTCCTAAAGTTCTTTGCACTTGAATGTCTGGGACAAAGATAATCATAGAGAAAATGGGGGCAGGCCTAGGTTGGGGCACCCAGGAAGTGGAGCAAAGACTGAGTTTAAAGTCCTTGCGGGTTCTGCTCAGTGGCTTCACCCTTCTTGCTCTGCTCATGTGTGTGTCCCATCCTGAAGCCCTGGGCACCCTTCTCGCTCTGCTCCCAGGATGGAGGAGAAGCCACCAGAGACTCCAGGGCCCCACAGGAGTGGTGCAATGCTGTCCAAGATGGTGGCATTTGAGAGAGGGAAGGAGTTTCCACCACAGATAAGGGGCTCTGGAGGCTGGACGAGGCTTGGAAAGGTTTCGTAATATGCAGGCGTTACCCCAGAATCTGCCCCATGCCCCGTGCTGAGTTGTTGCTGAGGCTGGAGAGAGGGGCAGAACCCAGACACCCACCCGGCTCTCCTCCCATCTGGGGAGCCCTGGGGCTGGGGCTCAGCGTTCCACCCACATCTGCCAAGAGCTTAGCAACAAGAGCAGTCTGTGTGATGCACTGCTCTGTTCACTTCACATTCATTCACTTAAGGATCAACATATTTGAATGTGTTGTTTCGTTTGCTTCACAACAGTCCACAAGGAAGCTCACACAGGGGTAGAGATGAGTTAACTTGCCTGAAGTCGCACGGCTAACCCTTCATGAGCAGAGCTCTCCTGACGGTCCCTGCTGTCCTCCAAGAAAGGAAGGACTGATATTCCCTGCTCTGAGCAGCCTGCCCTGTCCAGTTACCCAGCTTCAACCTCACCACTTCCCCATGACAGCCCTGGGGTGCGGTACCCGGGTCTCCCCAGTCCTGAAGGATGTCATCTTGCTGCTGGGATAGGTCCCCTCTTGGAATCACAACTGCCCATGAC